AGTGGAGCCGGTTACTGTGGGGTGACCGATTGCTGCGTCTTTGGTTCGTTGACAGGCATAATTCATTTTATATTTATCGAATTAGATGCGTTATATTTTTTCTATTGGAAACTGAACAAAATAAGAAAAATACGAATATTTAATGACACATTCGGTAAATAGAAAGTTAATTATCACACAGTGATTAACTCCTCATCATTTTAGTGGGCACAGTAGCTCGCTCGAAAACTCTTTCGTGTATTTTGTCAAATATCTTGTGATCCTTCTATATTTCAATAATGATCAAATTTGTACTAATGCAAAAGACATCAACGTGTAATTGAAATGTATCAAAAAGTGTGATATAGGTAAAAAAGAACTGCTCAATTTGTCGAAAACTTCGAACATCATTCCAATGGACACAGTATATATATTTAGCATATTTTGTTAAATATCTCGTGTTCTCGCTATACAGATAAAAAGTACAGCAGATTTTTGAGAACATCGGTCGTCGCTGTAATAGGCCCAGTGAATGACGTACTTGCCCTAAAAAAAAAACGTAAAAAAAAGGGGGTGAGACGAATGTATCGGCAGAGGAAAAAGTCATCCGTACGCCTCTTTCCGTAAAGCCCCGAAACGGCCGTTTCGTTACCAACAGTAATCCTAGTCGTCGAAGACCCTGCACGTTCCATGTTCCCGGAGCGGAACAGCCGAGCTGCGCGCTGCGTGTACGAGAATGGATATCCGCGGCAGGTCGATAAACGGCTTGGAAACAAAAAGGAAACAGAATAGAATCGGCGGGGAACCCGGAAGCCGCCTTGGTATAAGGGATGATAAGCTTTGCGAGACGGCGTCACCAAACCGGAATATCGGTTCCGTTCGCTTTGGTTCTCGCTGGCGCAGCGAACGGCCATTTACATCGACACGATAATAAGCCGCGCTCGAAAGTACCGTCGAAACCTCTCGAGATTCCGGAAGGAACTTTGTCGGGGAATTTACCGCGGAATCCCGCGTACACCGGCGTGAATGGAGGTAACCGCGCAGCCGGCGAAAAAAAGATCGCGAGGTAAAAAGAGGCCACGTTCCGCGGCCTGGCCCTGGGAAAAGTGGAAAGTGCAGTCGGGCAAACGGAGGCAGAGGAACGGGGGGGAGGGGTGGGTGGGGAGACGGCGATTAAACGAGGCACTTCTTTGCATTACGCTTGACGCGATGGGACGAGCGAATTAAATGAGACCGGCGCGGCGTTCACGCATCGTTTTCCTTCAAATCTCGCGGAATCCGCCGCCGGTTTCTAATTAGTTCTTGATGTCGCGCGACCAACGCGGATGCTCGCGGAGCGTCGAGAGGCCGGCACCCGGCGAAAGCAAAGTCTCTTAATGAATGGTATAACGAGGGTGTCGCGCGAATTCCGCTTGGCGCGCCGAGCCCGCGAAATCGTCTGCCGCCGATGATGCACGGGGTGTCTCAGCCCGGATAAGCCATCGAGATGTCACCTTAAGCTTCCGACGATCACAGCCTAGACGATTTTCTAGTGGCTCCGCCATCAACCGCTCTTAACGCTCTCTCACCTGGCCCCGACGATCTATCGGATTACCTGACGACTGTTTGTTTTGGGATCGGCTGCTTTTTTAGCGACGGCAGAACTGCTTGCACTCGAAACCTCGAGTTGTGTTTTTTATCGGTTTTAACCGTAAAACTGCTGAGCACTTCGCGCGACCGACGGATGTACGGGTTTTTTTTGACAAGATTGCGTTTAGTCGCTGGTTGTACAAATTTCATTCAGATTCGTATTTGCAATATTTGTATACATGTTTGAGCATCAATTTGTATTCAGATTTATCATATTTGTGATGCTTTCATTCATATTTACATGGTGATTTCTATTCACATTTATTCATATTTGTGATATTTATATTCACACTTACATATTAATTAATATTCACGTTTATTCATATTTGTGATATTTATGTTCATATTTACATATTAATTAATATTCACGTTTATTCATATTTGTGATATTTATGTTCATATTTACATATTAATTACTATTCACATTTATTCATATTTGTGATATTTATATTCATATTTACATATTAAACCCGATTCACATTTGTTCATATTTGTGACATTTATATTAATATTTACATATTAAACCCGATTCACATTTGTTCATATTTGTGATATTTATATACATATTTACATATTAATTCCTATTCATATTTATAATATGTACTTCGAGCAAGAAGTTCATTCGAATTTCACGAAGAAATATTTTTGTAATTTCAACAATCGTCCCCCATTTTCCGAATTTAATTTCTGACAAAAAGTCAGTGTAATGAAAACATTGATTGAATGGAAAGAAATACATTTTACAACATTATCAATGAAACAGTGAAACTATACCATTTAAACGAGAATGAATAAATAATTGTTTCATTAGACATCTCATTAACAACCGCAACTATTCAATTCTCCAATGTGAAAGTTTTCCATAAAGTTGAAATTGTAACAAACATTTTTATTATTCTCACTCATGCAATTTTAACACGTTGTTGATTGCGGGTTGCAGATAGAATTTCAATTCCATTTTCGACGACACCCGGAACAAATTAAATAAAACGAACGAGTACGTGCGGTAAAAATAAATGTTCTGCAAACCTTGTCGCGTACAATATAATGACCGTTTCCTAATTTATTTAAATTAATTGCAAAACTTCACTCGTACACAGATCTCAACGTATTCTTTCGCGTCTGACGGTTTTCGATTTCTCAAATGTCTTCTTGATTCCGTAAAATTCTTAATTTCTTAATCAAAATTAAATTAGAATATTTCAGACACTCGTAAAGAGAAAGCTAAGTGCAGTGTTCCGACAAAAAGAATAGCGAAGCAAAACGATTCGGATAAGTAGAGAAAGTTCAAGTGTATTGTACTTAAATCTCGGGGAACTTGTTAGCAAAGGATCAAAACGTTTCGTTCGTGCCTTTGATATTTTCGCGCGTTTACCCGCGGTTAATGCGGAACATTCAAAATCAGGTTAAGATACACGATCCATTAAGAGCTGAAATTTAATATTTGCTTTACCTTCTTTTTTGTTTTTTGTCTTTTTTTTTACTGAAAGTAACTTCGCTGTGCCGCTAAAAAGAAGCGAACCGACGTCGAATCCGCAGTTCTGCTTGCCCTGAAATGTGTAACCGAACTTTCCGACGGAAAAAATTACCCTGCCGTGGTTGCAACGTTTTCAGAGAAAATATCTTGGACGCGAATTTTCTTTTCTATTATGAGCAAAGTCTCGCCAGCCTCTAATCCGGGTTTTCATTGACTAGGTATTTCACTGGTAAAAATTAGGCAGCGATAAAAAGAAGTCTGCTTAATTAGCACGTTTACTGTCCAAATAAATTCAAGGTGCATTATAATTACAGATTAACTGACTGCAGTTTTTCGTGCATTTATTATAAAAGTTAATAGCTACAATTTAAAATAGTACGACAATTAAAGGGGTTATAAAATATAAAATATTATTGAATATTTTAATGTACTTTAAATACGCCTTAATTTGTTGAAATTATTAAAAATAAATATATACATAAAAAGTCCATAAGCGGTTCCTATTACTTACAATAGATGCAACAAATTTTTATTTTGTATAAAGTAAGTTTCCTTTCTTTACGAATTTATTTATAGGTTCCTGTGTCCTTTAAATTTCTAGTATGCTAGTGAAAAAATTTATTTACGACCTTCAAATGACGTCCAAGATGACCGAACGTTCACATAACGTTCAATAGTTGCTTTTTCATATTTCAATAAAATTGGATTTACAACATAGATGAGACACCGTGCAATACTTCACGATGGCAGCAAGAAAGACTGTAGCTTAATACACCCCATTAATAATACGGCGACAGGGAATGGTGCAATGCGTATTTGGATTCATTCGGAGTCCGAAAAAGCTGCTGAAGTAAATGGTGTAGAAATGAATAATTTCTTCGAGAAACATATCGCACATCTTTCCATCTTCACGTCGGCGACTCGCGAATGCTAATTAAGCCGATAAGAGTTTTTCCTTCAACAACAGATTTATTGGAAACGTGAAAATAACTTCCCCGGTCATTCGTTACAGTGGATGTTCGGACACTTTTTAATACGGAGAAAATTGTAATGACATTGAAACGTTAAGGGGCTCAATTTAGCAGACAATCGCCGAAACAATATTTTCATAAAATAAAATTGGTTGAAATGGTAAAGAGACATTTAATACAGAAACCATACTTTTTAACTTTTTTATTTGAGTGATTAAATCATGTATAACATGTCATAAAAGGAGTCCAATTGTTATTTCAATCTATTGTTTAGCTCTATAAAGAAATAATTGTACCGTACGAAGAAATAATTGTGTAATTATGAAGAAATAATTGCGCAACGAAGTGCAGTAAATTCTCCCCAATTGTCCCTCAGCTTCGAAATGAAAATGGACAATTTAGGAAGAGGAGATACGATTATTAGATCCTCGTGGCTCGTTTTTATAGTCAACAATTGCAAAAACGAGCCGCAAGGTTATTCAATAATCGTGTTTAACAATCGTAATAATCGTATTTAATAATCGCAATAATTATCCTATTTAATAATCATATCTCCTCTCCCCCAAATTGCCCATTTTTGTGCACAATCTAAGCGCCAATTAGGTAGAATTTACTATACTTTTGACTAATAAATGTACAATCCTATATTCCACGGTCGGCTAGCAAAACCCGGAATCAAGGACGCATTTCCCAGAATCCTCTTCACGAAGGAAGCGGAACCCTTCCGGAGGTGGAAATTTCCACGGTGGCCTGCATCCTCGGAGCGAGGGTGGCGCGAGAAGGGGCTGGGCGAAGGGGACGGAGACAGTGATCCGCGAAGGAGGACGCGAAAAGCGATGGGAAAACGCGGCGTCGAACGGGAGGGCCGAGGAAGGGTCGAAGAAGAGGGGCGAGCGAGATCGCGAGGGTGGGAGATGCGGAAAGAAGATAAAAGTAAGACTTACCCTTGCCAGAGCGACGGCTGGGAAGCTGTCCCAGGCGAGTTCCGCTTCCTCGCCCGTGTTTCCATGACGTTGACCCGAGAGGATCCTCGCTGCCGTCAGTGTGCTCATCCCCATCCCGTCGCCGACGAAGAGAACGACGCCCCGCGCCACGCCGCCCGGCGGCGTCGTCCCGCTGACGCTCGAACTCGCCGCCGACGCGCGAATACGTGCCTCGATCGCGTGTGTCGCAGCCTCATACCAGACCTCCCGCTCTGCGAACAGACATTTTTCTCCATTCAGGGAATGATGTGTATCGTAATCCCCTCTCCCCCCCGCGAGCCTCGAACCTATCTTAATTGAATCTATAGTCCGGGCGCGCTCGACCGAGCTATGAATCTACGTGGAAAAGGATCACTCGTCGGAAACGGCTTCTTATCTTAGGTTGTAATGATGTTGTTAGCGGAGAAAGGCTTGGTGATTATTTACTTTGGCGAGTTTCTCGATTTTCATTACCCGTAGAACTCCGTTTTTGCGAGCTCGACGGCAGGCTATTGGAGTTGCGCTCGGTGGTGGGGCCAGTTACTGTGTGCTAGTAAATTACTTTGTGTTTTGTTTATGTTCGAACGTAATTAACTTCTTTTTTCTATCAGGCTATGAAACACCCTATGGGGGTTATTAGCACAATATATTTTGTAAGATATTATTACAAAATTAATATTACATGTACAATATATTGTAATATATTATTACATATTACTTTGGGATACATAAAACTTGTCAAGTATTGTATCTAACTCTCAAGGATCGTAATTAACTTCATGTTTGTCAAGAAAGGTATATCACATTTTTGTATTTAAAATGGAATTGATTGTTTATTTGTTAAAATAAAATATTCAAAAGACGGAAGTACTTTGACGGAAATTGTTTGAATGTTTTGGTACTGAATTAGCGAGATCTTCTGTCAAGCTTGCGAAAAAGCATAACAAAATGGCGAACGAATGAAGATCAATGTTCGGTAAAATAAATCGTTGCAGTCCCTTTGAAAGGTGTAAGTTATTGTAATTGTACTGTATATGTTTGATTTTCTTCATATTTTGTTTAAATACTTCTATAAAATACAAATATGATTTATTGAAGAATATCGAAGTATATATCTTTCTTTAAACAGTTAGCTGTCTTCGACGAGTATACTCGTCATGAAGAAATGGCAATAATTTATGTCACGACGAGTATACTCGTCACGAAGAAATAGCAAGAATTTATGTTACAACGAGTATGCTCGTCATGAAGAAATAATAAGAATTTATGTCACGACGAGTACGTTTGTCACAAAGAAATCACAAAAATTTATGTTACGACGAGTATACTCGTCATAAAGAAATAACAAGAATTTAGGTTACGAGTATACTCGTCACAAACAAGTAACCGATTAACAGTGCTGTTAGATTGCTTTCAACTTATCAAAGATCGCAAAAATGAAAACGAACGTCTAGTTAACTCTTGTTTATTGCTATCAAGATAGTGAATTTTAATATCGCATAAATAAAATATTGCATAAAATTCTCTGCATTTAATGTTCCATATTCCGCCGATCGCTGTCGCCACACGTGCATAAAATCCGCAGCCCGCTCGTTACACTGTCAGCCATATTGAATCTCCGTCTGTTCCGCCGATTCCCTCGACGCTAATGTATTAAACGTTTAAATATTTTAATGCGGCAAATGGACATTCTCGATAACGGAAACCGAACTGTAACAAGGTGTTATTAGGCGCCGAGGGGGATTCGCGAGCGCTGAAAACGTGGAACGACGACGATGCTAATCTTTAAGTACCGTGCTTCTTCCCGGGCCAGCTCGGCTCCGTTGGAATTGTCATGTTGCAGGCTGAAATCGCGCTCCCCTGTCTGCGACAGAAGCGTTTCTCGTTTGAATGCTGCCGAAGGGGCCGGATATCTTAATTGAATCTGTTAGTAAAACGGACCGAGTCCAAATGTTTCCGGGGAAGTCGTTTGCCGCTGTTACCCGCGGAAAAAAGATCGCCTCGCCAGCGCGACGAAAGCCGCCCTGAGACCCCTAACGGTCATATGAGCGCTGGCTTTTAATACGGGAAAATTACGTTAACCGAGTCAAAAAAAAAGGAGCAGGACGCGACGGAGATTAGAGTCTTCTAAGGGTCGCGTAAAAGTCGTGGAATTTCGCCGAGAGACTGATACCTTTCAGGGCGACTCGAAGGGAGAATAACCAACGGAAATCGTCGACTTTTAAAGCGTCCGATAAAATGGGAAAATAGAATGCATCGAACGGACGAAATTCTTATCAATTATCTCAACATTAAATTAATTTCTCCGGCTGTGTTTCACTCGATTATTATGTCTGCCCGCTTCGCCGGACACAGATGCAACTAATTTTACATAATTAAATTGTACTTAACATTACTCGTGTGATACGAATTCATTTGATAATTAACCAACCGGCACGGAAATAATCAACGATCTAATTGTACGAAATTCTTTTCTTTTCTTTTTTGCAATTATGTGGGGCGTATTTGTCGAACTCAGTAATTATTTTAATTGTGCACACTCGTTACGCGACAACGATAAGTAGACTGAAAATTTTATGAAAAATTGAAATTCTCAGCATTAATTGCAAGATTCTGGAGCTTCGTAGAGATTTCATTCGTTTTCGAATTATTTTATTCTGTTGAAAATAAAATAACGGTATTTTTGTATCGTTTACTTAATTTTTCTTCTCCGTTTTCCGTTTGACCTACACATTTTTGTCACAAATGNTTTGTATCGTTTACTTTATTTTTCTTCTCCGTTTTCCGTTTGACCTACTCATTTTTGTCACAAATGCATAAAATCCGCGCTCTAATGATAAGAGCACACGTTCCGCCCGGCGTAAAATAACTTTCGTTCGTCGTCGCTGTATCCTTCGTTTTATTAGTTTATAAAAGTAACAACGAGACATTTGTTCCGATTTTTAACAAGTATTATTGCAACGTTTGCCGCAAGTAACATACAAATTGAATAAATAATTCGAAAATGTATCTTTATACGATATGAATTATTGTAAATTAAAAAATTAGAGACCCATCATTTTGACAGGTTCCGTAAATCTAATGTTAACCCTTCGCACTCGAAACTATTTAAACTGTAAATATAATCATTTTTCTCACTTATATGGTATTTTTTATTTTATATGATAAAATGCATTTTATGCATATGAAATTGATTCTTGGGACTCACAAAACAGTTATTGTTATTCTATTATTATTATATAATTATAATGTAATTATTATATAATTATAATATAATTATTATATAATTATAATATAATTATTATGTAATTATTATATAATTATAATATATTATATAATTTTTTAAATCTAAACTTTGTTAATATAAACATTATCTTAAAACGTGATGTAACAAATTTTAGCGGTGCCTCTGAGTCACCACTCGAGTGCAAAGGATTAATTAACTATATTTACTAGCAGCGTCAATTTTGTCACGAAGCATTATTTCCGTTCCGTTGTCTTCGTGACGGAAGAGAGACCATTTCGGCCGAACATGATAATGTGATTATCAGACAGTGGCTTGTAATACTATCGCGGCGTGTTTAGGGCAACCTGGAGTGCAACTAGACGGAACAGTTGACGCAGAAAGTTGGCCAGATTTGTGCCGGCGGAGATTTTGTTCGATGGCAGCGTCGCAGGAAATGTATTAAGGTGAACGACTGTTTCCTGGAAACTGCGCCACTCCAGGATCTCGTCGTTACGGTTTGCTTAGAAACACATTGCCGGCTAGTAGCCACTAATGGGTAAGTTTAAACTGCGCCATACCTACCAAACTACCATATCCTGTCGCGATATTGGCCAACCCCGTATCTCCATGAAAGCAAGATCCGATACACGTCGTGCTACAGAGTTACAATCTGTGCACCCCTTCGGAGACATGTTTCTACTCCGGAACTGCCTTAAGGAAAGAACCCGCCGTGTAAATGGCGCTACAGTACTATCTACGGAGTGTCCGTGTGTCTACAGAGTGGCCCGAAAGTAACGATAATATTTTCTACTAAATCTTGAAGTTATATCGAAGTTACATATATATTACAATCGAGCCTAGAATCTTGAATCTCTCAGGGTGTCCCGAAAATGTCTCGTAATCCGGAAATGGGAGGTTCCTGAGGTCATTTGAAGCAACTTTTTCCTTGGCGAAAATTTTTTACGATGCTTCGTTTACGAGTTATTAACGAAAAACACTGACCAATAAGAGGCGAGCTTGGCTGGCGCGCTGCGGCCCAGTCAACGTGTGAACGGAGCCCAGTTCCGCTCATTGGCTCGGCCGTCTTGCGCCAAATGATCTCGCCTCTGATTGGTCATTGTTTTTCGTTAATAACTCGTAAACGAAGCCGCGGATTGCATCTTCGCTAAGGAAAAAGTTGCTTCAAATAACTTCAGGAATTCTCTACTTTCGGATTGCGAAACATTTTTGGGACACCCTGTATTTGCTATTCGTTTCAACTGCACTTTGCACTTTCTTCTGTTCTCCAACATCACAGCCTGGCGAAAGAACGGTTCAACAAAATGAATTGAATATATTATTGATATATAATTGAATATTTGAATCCGCAAATATTTGACAGTATTAACGAGTCAGAATTGACGTGCGCTACAAATTAAAAACACGCAATCTCGTTTTTTTACGTGAAAAAGATCAATGTTCGAAAGTTCAACGTTGTCAATAAATATAACGGGATAAATCGAAATTTTCTTCTTTATTAACATGTGTGCTATCAACATTA